CCTTGTAGCCCTCAGGTTGATGCATATAGATCTCCTCATCCAAGTCCCCGTGCAAGAAGGCGGTTTTGACATCGAGTTGTTCCAGCTCAAGATCATGATGAGCAACAATACTCAATAGCACCCGAATGGAAGTGTGCTTGACCACAGGAGAAAAGATCTCATTGTAGTCAACTCCCTCTCTTTGTGCAAACCCCTTAGCCACTAACCTCGCTTTGAATCTTGTACCACCGAGCTTGGTAGGATCCTCCTTCTTTTTATACAACCACTTGCAACCAATAGCTTTCTTACCTATGGGCAATGGGACAACCTCCCATGTTTGGTTCTTGTGAAGTGATTCCATCTCTTCTTCCATTGCCGCCAACAAACTCTTGTTATTGTTATTTAAAATAGCTTCCTTGAAAGTGGTAGGCTCATCATCCTCCACTGAGAGAGCATACTCAACCAAATTTGTCTGCCCATAGTGCCTCAAAGGCTCGTCTGACCCCAACTTTAGAACTTGCTTGTAGGTACGGCGTGGCCTAGAGGAAGCCAAGCTATCTGCAAGCTGCTGTTGTTGCTGTGCCTGTACATTCTCTTGCTGAACCGTCTCTTGTTCAAGTGTATCATCACTCTCATCTTGAGTGTCTGTTTGATGCTCCTCTTGAACATGACTAGAATCAGGTTGATCTCTAGGTTCTATCTCAACAACTTGAGACATTGTAGTCTCAACATCATCACCACTGGGCATTGTAGCTTTCAACGAAGCTACCATGGAGTTCTCATCAAAAGTAACATCTCTGCTGATTATGAACTTAGAATCCTCTAAACACCAAAGGCGATAGCCTTTAACTCCTGCCGCATACCCCAAGAATATAGCCTTCTTGGCCCTCGCATCATGTTTTCCCTCGTTGACATGATAGTAGGCTGTGCATCCGAATGTTCTGAGTTTCTCATAATCTGCATGTTCTCCTGTCAGTACCCTATAAGGTACATCTCCATCTAACCTTGAATGTGGAGACCGGTTCACAATATAGCAAGCATTTGCAACCGACTCTGCCCACCATTCTCTGCCCAAACTAGCATAAGATCGCATACACATCGATTTCTCTCGAAATGTGCGATTCAGTCTTTCTGCGACCCCATTCTGTTGCGGTGTATTTCTTATAGTCCAGTGTCTAACAATGCCTTCTTTACCACAGAACTCCTTGAAAGCACCATCTGTATACTCAATACCGTTATCAGATCTCAGTGTCTTCAATTTCTTTCCAGTTCTGTTTTCAACCATTGCTTTCCACTTCTTGAAGGTGTCGAATACCTCATTCTTATGCTTCAAAAAATAAATCCAAGCATATCTAGAATAATCATCAACAAATGTAACAAAATACCTGGAACCGCCTTTGGAAGTGACAGAAGCTGGGCCCCATACATCCGTATGCACATAGTCAAGAATGCCTCTGTTTCTATGTTTGCTTGGCTGGAACTGAACTCGGTGTGCTTTACCGTATACGCAATCCTCACAAAAGTCCATGCAAGGCTTCTTCAAGTTCTTTAGCAAGCCTTTCTTGACTAGCAATTCTAGCCCCTTTTCAGACATATGCCCAAGCCTCCTTGCCATAGCCGAGTGCACTCACATGGGTCTCCACCACTTCCACTTGTTCCAACTGCTACATCTTCAGTAACTGTAGTACCCTGAAGAGCGTAGAGATTGCCTTCACGAATACCCTTCTTTACTCCATTCCATGTTACAATCTTGCAACCACCGGAGTCCAAGGCACCAACAGAGATAAGGTTCTTTCGCAAGTCAGGAATATGTCTAACATCCATCAATGTTCTAACCACTCCATCATGCATCTTGATTCTAATCGAACCAAGCCCCACCGTTTTACATGAATGGTTATTACCCATCAACACGGTTCCACCCTCAGTGCTTCTATAGGTAGTAAACCACTTCCTATTTGGACACATATGGTAAGAGCATCCGGAGTCTAGAATCCACTTACCGGAGGTCTCTTCATCACAAGAGATGGTGTAGCACTCATCGCTTTCCCCTCCTTCCGAGGCATAGCTTACCTCTTGCTTGACTTGCACCTTCCCATTGTTGTTGTTCTTATTGTTCTTCTTCCAACCCTTTTTGTTTGGACAATTCGCCTTGAAATGCCCAAGCTCACCACATTTGAAACAAGACCTTTCCACAAGAGGTCTAGAACTCGATCTAGATTTTTCTCCCTTACCCTTTGGTCGCACATTGCTTCTACCCCTTACAAACAATCCTTGAGCTTGCTCCTTGTTACCACTGGTAGACATGCCACTAGTTGCAATCTTTCGAAGATCATCCGCTAGAAGTGACGTTCTAGTGTCCTCCATCACAAGTTTATCACCCACAAGCATTAATGTTTGTACTAGGTTCTCGTAAGACTTTGGCAATGAAAGAAGTAGTAGAAGTGCTTGATCCTCATCATCTACATCCACATCAATGTCCTTCAAGTCCGATATGATCCTATCAAACTTGTTGACGTACTCCCGGATTGGTGTACCTTCATCCATCTTGCAAGTATACAATTTGGACTTCAAGTAGATCCGATTTGTTGGAGTCTTCGTCATGAAGTTCGCCTCCAACTTTGTCCACACCTCCGCCGCTGTTAACTCACTATCAACCAAGAAAGCAACATCTCTTTCAAGGCAAAGAATGATAGACGCTCGTGCCTCAAGATCTAACTCTTCCCAATCCTCGTCCGACATATCAACGTGCTTCTTCTCCTTTCCCGCCAATGCCTTGTGCAACTTTTGAGAAATCAACAAATTTTTCATTTGCATTCTCCAATATGAAAAATCATTTTTCCCATTGAATTTTTCTATCTCATACTTCCCAATCTTCACCATTCCTCTAGTAGACATGATTTACTCACTTGTTTACTGAAAATAAATCACAAAAGTTCACTTGAGAATTTTCACAAACACCTTGTGCACAACAAAGTTCAAGCAACTCACCACAAAATCGAAGCTTAACCACCTTGATTTTGGAAGGAGCTCTGATACCAAATTGTTGGGAAATACCTCCCAATGAATGCCCAAAGATCAAACTAAGTTGGCAAAGTGAAAATTTCCAATATGCTTTAAGAACAAGAAAATGAGGAAGAAATGAATCCAATGGAATATATGATAATCAATGTGTTTGGATTACTTGAACAAGCCTCAAGTTAATCCCCAAGAAAGAAAATACCTTTGAATTTATACCCAAGATGAACAACCTTCAATCTTGTAAAATTCTCTCAAAAGTTTTCTCTCTTTTCTCTCTAGGTCTTGTGTTGTGTGTCTCATTATGAAAGAGGGAAAAAATGCATATATATATACATGCCGGGGCGCCTAGGCGCCTGGACATGGCGCCTAGGCGCCCAGTTTCTGCTTCGGCAGAAACTGGGCAGCGCCTAGGCGCTGCTTGCCCTTTCTCTTCCCTCCTTCTCACAGACGTCTTGGAGAAGTTCTCATGATCCGTCCATTGGAGATTTTTCCGACAGGATTGAATATAATGGTGGCCTAGTTGAAATGGTTGTCTACCACGAGAAGATAAAAAGAAGCCGCCGCAGCCCATGGAGTGGGCATTACACCAGTAATCTCCCTTTCATTCTCACTACACCTTTTAAACCAGTTTTGGTATTCAATAAAGACAGGATTTCACTCTATGATAACAGCTCATTAATCACGAGATTAACTTTAGACAAATCAGGCTTTATCCATCGCTATACTATGAATGAGAGCAAAAATGGGTGGAATCTTGTTCACACTTTTCCACGCGATTCTTGTGACAATTATGATCGGTGTGGTCCTAATGGTATCTGCAGAATTAGTCAGGTACCAATATGTGAGTGTCTGAAAGGATTCGCCCCAAGATTTCAGAAGGATTGGGACGTGCAAGATTGGTCCGGTGGATGTGTTAGAATTACGCCAATAAATTGCCAGAATGGAGACGGGTTTCTTGGGGTGGAAGCTAACTTTCCTGATAGGTTCCAGTTTCAATTGAATACTAGTATGAGTTTCAATGAATGCAAATCTCAGTGTTCCAAAAGCTGTTCCTGTACAGCTTTTGCTACCCCTTTTATAGATGGAATTAGTAGCTGTTTGATGTGGTTTGGGGATTTGATTGATATTAGAGAGCCTCCTGAAGCAGATAGCACGGTGAACATCTACAGTCGTTTGCCAGCTTCAGAACTAGGTAAGTCTTCTGCTAATCACTCTTAGTTTCAAAGCCATGTATCTACTCGTGAATGTAGAGAATTTCGAAACCATAAAATGGAGTAGTATTTTTAGGGGGATTCTGTTAATCACTTTAGGATTCCTATTCAAGACAACTGCAGTTCCTTTTCGGGCGGTCATAGGACGGACGATCGCCTATAGGTGGTAGGGTAAAGTGGGTGGTGCGGACCAGGTTTAGAGCACGTGAAACTCATGTATACTAATCGCATGTTACACAAAATAGCCAATTTCTCTGTAGTATAAAAAATTTAGGTCATGTTGTCTTCTGGATCATGTATACTAATGATGCTCAGCCCAATCATTGATCCGGCCAATGCACCGAGGTTGACTGGTTCACATGAGATCAGGGCAAGTAGACCTGCTTGAGATTCATAAATTTAACCTAATATTTTAGTTCATATTGATCGAGATAAGAATAGAATGTCCATATACATCAATAGAAACACTCTCAAGTATCCATATTTAACTTGGAGCTTTTTGCCAGTTGAAATTGAGAAAACTCAGTTTTATCTGTGGGTAAGGACGGTCCAAAACAGAACAGAGTTGAGATCCTTTGCAATGTTAGTTATATTAACTTCTAAAAGCCAGCATCATATTAAGCAACCAAATTTTATAATCAAGATTCAGAAGGGGAATACAAGAGAAAAAAAAATCAACTAATGTTATTTCTTGTAGTTTATATCAGAAAGCCAAAAACTCTAGATAACCAGTTAAATTAAAAAAGGATTCATGTGGAGAATAGTTACGTCAGCTGCTTTTTTTCATTGCAGAATCTAACAATGTTTTAGGTAAGAAGAAGAAAAGGCCCGCAAAGATAATCTTCATTTTGACTGCTGTCGGAGTGATTATCTCTGCTTTAATCTGCGGAGGCATACTTCTAAAGAGAAGACTAACAAGTAAAGGTAATAAAACCTATCCTCAGTTCTTTCTCACAGAAGTTTTATTACAAATGCAGCAAAGTGCTTAAGAATACATAAATCACAGTAAGCTTGCATTAAAGCCCTAAGGCAATTATTGTTTTATAGGAGAAGAAAGGAAAACTGAAGGCCTAGAATTACCTTCATTTGGTTTGGCAACTGTAGCTACTGCCACGGATAACTTCTCCAGCAAAAACATGATAGGTGAAGGTGGTTTTGGTCCTGTTTACCGGGTAATTTCTCTAGCGAAAACAGATGTGGTGCCTTTTTTCTTTGTACGAATATATCACATTAACATTTGTATCTTATATTGCATATTAAGGGTAGGTTATCAGATGGACAAGGAGTAGCAGTAAAAAGACTGTCCAAAACATCCAGAGAAGGTATTGAAGAATTCAAGAATGAAGTGAATTTGATTGCCAAACTCCAACACAGAAACCTCGTCAGATTATTGGGATGTTGCACTAAAAGAGATGAAAGAATGTTAATCTATGAGTACATGGAGAACAGAAGCTTGGATAATTTTATTTTTGGTATGACCTAAGAAACCCTTTATCTGATTAATATGTTTTGTAAATCATTATGCTTGATCCAAGGGGATCAAACATGTAGTTTTAACAATTAAAACTGTGCAATTCTGTGCAGATGAAGATAAAAGGACAATATTGTCATGGCCCAAGCGTTTTGACATTATTATGGGGATTGCTCGTGGATTTCTCTACCTTCATCACGACTCAAGATTAAAGATTATCCATAGGGATATCAAAACAAGCAATATCTTGCTAGACGAATATCTAAATCCGAAAATTTCGGACTTTGGCTTGGCAAGAATTGTTGGAGGGGGTCACGATATAGAAAGAACAAAAAGAGTTATTGGGACATAGTAAGTTTCAGTTTCTCGTTAACATTAGTTAAAAAATTAATTGTTTGCACAGCATCATATGACCATTGATCAATAACTTTATACAGTGGCTATATGGCTCCTGAGTATGCCTTTGATGGGAAGTTCTCAGTAAAATCAGATATCTTTAGCATGGGTGTTGTCTTGTTAGAGATAGTGACTGGCAAAAAGAACAGAAGTTTCAGATACATGGATCACTGTGATAGCCTTCTAGGACACGTAAGTAGCGTGAGCAAATTGAATTTTACATTTTTTTATTTTTTATTTTTATTTTTTTTCTCCTTGAGCTTTTGGTACTTTACAAATACATCTCTACTAGTTTTCTTGTGAGCTACATTCTAATTAGATCAATTTTCATAGGCATGGCTCCTCTGGAAAGAAGACAGGGCCTTGGAACTAATGGATGAATGTTTGAAAGATTCATATGTTGAATCTCAAGTGAAGAGATGTATGCATGTGGGCTTATTATACGTTCAGAAACACGCAGACAACAGGCCATTTATGTCCAATGTGCTTTTTATGCTAGGAAGTGATCAGGAGGGAGCAAATTTGCCTGATCCCAATGAACCTGGATTTTTCATGGGAGGGAGTTACAATATTGAAGAAACTTGTGAACTGCATTACAATAATGAAGAAACTTGTAAACCAGAGCCAAATTCAAATGCAGTGAGTATGACTGATATAGAAGCCAGATAGAGAAGGTTCAACAGAATGATAATTTTGCAGAACATACACATAATCATGCTACTATAAGAGAACTATTGTTAATGAGTAATGCTATGTACTAAGTAGCAATAGTGGCGCTAGACATGGGTATAGTTATTTTTTTTAGCTCTTTATTTTTTTAAGTTCTTTTTTAATTAAAATCGAGGTTGTGTATCTTTTCTTTTAAAAAGCAATTCTTTGAGGAAAAGGGAGCTTTGCTATTTGCTGCAGCCAGTTGGTTTCTTTAAGGTTAACACCAGTCAAGTAAAGATATGGAGAGAGATGAGAAAGCAATTCTAGGTTCTTGAATCTCAGCTGGTGACAATATGGACAAGCGAATCCAAAAATTTCAAGAGTCTGCAGGTTGGTAACTTTCCGATGTTCATGCTTAAATTTCACGTGTCTTAAATTCTTGAAGGAACCAATGAATTTTGGTATTTGATTACTGCCTCCGAAATCATTTCCCCTTAGGTCCAGTCCAGGTAATCCAAATGCTGCATCTCAAGCAATGCAGGGCAGGTCTTATCTCTCAAGGGATGATAATAAGAAACATTCCCGTGAGCAGTTAAGTTGCTAGATGCCACACCCTTCCATTTGTAGCATTCACTTTTGTCTTTGTCACTTCCCTGGGATGAGAGAAAGTCATAGTCATCTATAAGGCCTTGATTAAACTTGAAAAGAGCTCGTCCCCAGAAACAGAGAGCGAAGTCAGTTTCATGCACAGAGAAGATACGAATAACGATAAATTAAGTACTTTGATAATTCTTATAAGTTAAGGGAATATAATCCTACATCGGTAAAATACCGAAATAATGACCAATATATAAAGGATTGTGACACTCCTCTTAATAAGGTTGATCTTATTAAGATGGACCCCAAATCTTACCATGGTATCAGAGCCCAGTAAGCTCCAACAAGCTATTCGATCCGATTAAATCTCAAAAATGAGTACACGGATTTCAAGATTGGTCTGCTAAAAAAGAGCCACCATCTTGCGGGAGCATGTTAAGGGAATATAATCCCACATCGATAAAATACCGAAATAATGACCAATATATAAAGGATTGGGACACTTCTCTTAATAAGGTTGACCTTATTAAGATGGACCCCAAGTCTTAACATTTTTTTTCCGAAGGATATCGCGTTTAGAGTGAAATTTCTGAGTTCTGAGTTCTTTGATTCAACTAAAAATATTTATCAAGACTGAAATCTCCTTTTCTTGCATTCCTCAATTTCATTTCTTTAACAAGTTTATTTGAATTTCGTTAATGCCGAAATATGAGCCTCACTAATGTTGGCTTCTTCTCTCCTAATAAGTTCCATTATATCCTTTAAGAATTCTGCTTTCCCGTGTGAATTAAAACGTGGACCCTCCTAAGGAGGCCATTTTTTGGTTCGTTCAGTGCAACATTCAAGTGCACATGAGTTCAAGATCCAAAGTGCTATTTCGGTTCTTGATTTGTACCCCTTGCGTTTGCACGTGGAAAGAATCTCTACACATGATTACAAACTTTCAAAGTGTAGCCATATAGCTTTTGTAAACTTGTAGTTTTCTCTTTGACACATTAACCTCTTCCAATTCATCAATTTGAGCTTTAATTTTTTATTTACCCAGTTATCATTTTTGGCAAGTAAATAAATGATATCAATATTCTCACAAAGGAGAACACAAATCAACTTTGATCTTTCAAAATGAACGAACAGATCCCACTCAAAATTATGCCAAAACAGCCCTAACAAGCCATTTTTTCCCAACGCATGCAACTTCAAATCTACTGCAGGTTTTAGTTCGGGTTAAGTTCCAGTATTGGTTGCTGTTCTTCCAACTTCATCAGATTATATTACGGCCATTGCTGTAATGCAATAAAACAAATTAGAGACCAATTATATGATTTTTTCCTGTGTGGAATGAAAATATCTAAGGAACAAAAGAAAGAATACTTGATAGTTGCTTGATTTACAAGCATAAGATTCATTACCGATTTTTCCATAAACTTTACGTAGCTGTAAGAATAGACACGTTTAAGCTGCATTACCCTTTGTTTTTCCCATGGAATAAACCCCATACTAGATGTGGCTACAAGAAAAGTCAAGTAAACGTGTTTGACAAATTATTGATTATTTATGCCAGACTGAAAGTAAGTGATGAAAAGAAAATAATGAAATTGACATTAATTATGACTCTGAGTTACTGAAAACCTTGTACTAATAGACAAGACAGCTGGAGCTTCCCCACAAAACAACACGTGGAAGAATTTTGGTTATCCCGGTGACGCCAGGATTCAAGGAATGGAGATGGTCAACTACCTTGGTAATCAGGTATATAATAAGGGAAGTGTTGTATGTAAAACCAAGATTGACAATCCGATTGATAACTACACATATTGGAGGAGGCCCCATAATGAATAAAAAAAAGCCTGAGCTCCCTACTGTGAGGACATTGTCCACCAAAATTGTCAATTCCTGTTATACAACTAGAAAAATCCAATAAATAAATATTTGAAGTCTTGGAGATGTATCTTAGCCAGATAAATCTATCTGGTAATCACTTCTTAGACTTCTTAGTTTCTAAGACATGTATATTTTCTTAGCCAGATAAGATATTATGAATACTTACAAAACTCGGTCCAATCATCGATTCGAGGCACCAAGGTTGACATGTTCACAAGCAATGGGGTCTGGCCATGTAGCTTATCTTGGACCAATTTGCAAGTCGGTTGCCTGTTTAAAAGTCAGACGAATGGGTCTGGTCCAGATTTTACAAGTTTGATCATGCCAGACTCATGAAATCTGTATTTTAGCTCGTATTAAATATAGATAAGAATGGAGTGTTCATAAAAATCAACAGAAACAGTTCAAGTATCCTTGGTTCGATTGAGATTCGTTATATTATTTTTATGAACTTCTAAAGACTAACATCACTCTATGGAGCATAATTTTATAATCAAGTTTCATAACGCAGAACTTGAGGGAAAAATAACATCGACCAATCTTGTTCATTGTAAAATATAGCAGCAACTATGGATAAAACTTAATTAAAACATGATTCATGCAAAGAAAATTGCATCATCTGGTTCTTTTTAGAATCTGTTAGGATTTTATTGTATTGTCAATTCTTTATACAAAACGACTAATATGAAATGTTTAAAAGTCAAGAAGTCAATTGGAATATTTTATAGATGACATAGGTAACTTAGGATTCGAGTTTGGAATGAGGAGGGAGTTGTCGAATTTACGCTAGCGTGACGCCTAACTAATGCTCGAGGAAAAAAAATAGTAAACAGTATCGCCCAGCTCTTGCTCGAGTGACACACTGGTCGCTCACTTATCGTTAGCTAGGTGCTCGAGAGATGGTATTACGCGTAAAATCCTAGTTAGCGTTTTTCAAGAATTTTATACAGCACGAGTTACCTAATTGCCTTCTACTATATATACCCAAGCTCTAAAATGTTTTTGGCGTGGTTGTTCATTATATTTCTTCTTCATAACATCTTTCTAATATTGAAAAACACATTTAAGCCTTAGATCAATCCTTTGATTCTTGAGTTCATTCAACCACAACTTTACGGAAAACATCAAATTCATATAATAAAAAATACCCACTTTTTATGCACATACAGGAATGTACTTTCTTAATAGCTTTCAGAGGTTGCTGAAAATTGAGAAATGTTGAACTAGGAATATAGAAATAGTACAAGAACAAGGTGTTTTTAGTGATCCACAGGAGATAGAAAATTCCTAAAGATTAGAAATAAGTGTGAGTGAAGTATGTTCCAGCAGGTCTCGGAGATTACAGGAATTAGATAGTGAGTCTATTGGATTTTCTAGGTCGGATCGTACTACAAGTTCTTATTGTCTATAGTGGAGGTTATTGATTTGGTCTCGTAATTTTTACCCAGTTGAGTTTCCCTGTCAACAATTCTTGTATTCCTGATTACTTTTATATTGCAAATTGTGGCAGTTTAACATAGGATAAATTGGTTTGATTGATTAAACATCTAGAACAATTAATAAGTGATTTGCTGCTATTAATTGATAATTTCAATTCCTTAGTTTTCACCTATTCATCCCTCTGGATGATTTTAGGATTGAACTAGTAACTTTCAGGATCAAACAACGATTCTAATAAGAAGAAGAAGCCCATAAAAATTAAAGATATAGATTTACCTTGATTTAGCAACTATTGCGGCTACAATAGATAACTTTATATAGTGGCTATATGGCTCCAGAATATACCATTGAGGTAAATTCTCCATAAAATCAGGTGTCTTCAGCATGGGAATCATCTTGTTAGAGATAGTGGCAAAAAGAACAAAAGTTTCAGACATGAATCACTATCATAGCCTTTTAGGATATCTAAGTAGCGATATGAATCGAATTTCAGTTTTCGAGTTAACTTTATGGACTTGATAATACTCATCTAACTCGAGCAATTTTCACTCCTTTGAAATGAAGATAAAGCTTTGGAACTAATGAATGAATGCTTGAAACATTCAACATTTTTTTTTCTTCTGAATATTAATTGAGGAGATGTATACATGTGGACTTACCATGCATTCAGAAACACACAGTGCTTTTCATGTTACGAATTGAGGAGTTAGCAAATTTGCAGATCCCAAAAAAATCGGATTTTTCATGGAAAACAGTTCTGTTAATGAAAAAACCTGTATATCTGAGGCCAACGCCAACACATATAGAATTAGAATAACTGATCTAGAAGGCAGATAGATAGGTTGAACAATATGATAATTATTGAAGAAACGGTCAATTAATTATAGCCAAAATGTTGATTGAATTCAGAATATTTTATTTTTCCTAATGTTGCATGGTAAGATTACTTCAATTCTTGCTCTTCATGAAGGTCAGCTAGATCCCAGTTGCAGATGAATAAAAAGAAGCAATTGAATGCATTTGATTCATCTATATTCATGTCAATAGATGATCAGCTCTTTTAACAGTAAAGTAGTAATAAAAAACTAGAAATTAAATACGATGACCATCTTAAATAAAACCTGTGGATGTTCATCCTATATTTTTGGCAGACTTCG